GTTAGTTAATATATGAGAGAGATATGTGTGTGAGTATGTTTTGATAGAGAGATTTTGGGAGATATGATTTGATTTAATTAAGGGTGTATTTGCCATAATAAATATGATTTAATTAAGGGTGTTTTTGCCATAATAAATATTATTAATTTATTAAAATATTAAATATTAACTCGGGTTTATACACATAAATTATAATATAGAGGGAGCTATAGCAAATTGCCCCTACAAAATAAGCTATTTATACTACACGGGAGAGTAATGTCCACAGAGTGACACGAGTGTGCTTCACTTAAAGACCACTAATAGTGAGTGACTCTCTATTAATTGGACATCCACTCTATGCGTATACACTGCGTTTACACCAAAGACACTATATTATATTGCCTAAATAAAGCGAAATCATACCACACGCGCGCATTAAAGAGCCTTGTACATGAAATATATATATATATATATATATATATATATATATATATATATATATATATATATATATATATATATATATATATATATATATATATTCACATACATGCATATTAATTAGCGAAAATTAGCAAGACTCCACCCATCTATGAAATATTGTTAAGAAAAACCCTCCCCGAAAATAATTAGAGAAAATCCCCTTAATTTATACTCTAACTAATTACTCTCTCCGTTCCTAAATAATTGTCACTTTTCACTTTTTACAAAGATTAAGAAACTCAATAAATATATCTTGATTTTAAAAAAATCATATAAAAATGACTATAACAACCTTTATTATTTAATGATTTATAAGAGAAAATTAATGAATCGAGTTTCATTAATAAGGTTAAAACAAGAAAAATGCATTTAATGCAGTATTGAAAATCTAAAGTGACAGATAAAATGAAACAAAAATATTTTTAAAAAGAGACAGTTATTGTGGAACAGAGGGAGTATTAAATATAAAAATCCATTACTACCCTTATAACCCTAATCATTTCTCATTTATTCGGATTTCACGCCCCTCTCTCTCTCTCTCTCTCTCTCTCTTTCATTCATTTTCCCAGCCCTTCATCACCCGGCCTACAATCCGACGTCGCCCGAGGAGTAAGCAATCATCCACCGTCGCTCAACCTCTCCGTTCCAATCTGACGCCACCATTTGATAAGCAAAGTGTGCTCCGACACACCAAACTCGTCATTGTGCGACCAAGTAGTGAGATATGACCCGCGTTCGAAGGGGGCGGACTTTTTTGGTCGAGTACTTGGGAATTTTATATTGTCTAAATTAATTCGAGTTTGTTGCCCATAATCACCAAGACACCAACGGCAAAATTCCTAAGGGGCCGGACTTTTTCTTCGAATACTTTCATGTTTTATATACTGTCTAACGCTTAGGAATTTTATGGTTGGTGATTATGGGCAACAAACTCGAATTAATTTGCTACTGTTAATCTGTTTTTTACAAACATTTATTCGGCAGATAATTAACCCTGTTTTGGCC